GTTCTCACTGTGAAGGCAATGTTTGTGCAAAGACTTGAAATAAATGAGGAAGTAAGGCTAGGATGTTGGAAAAGTTATCTAAGTGGATATTTAAATCACCAAGATTTAAGACAGAACTTAATGTTAGAAATATCAATGGAGAACAAAGAACTATTAGAGAAATAAGGGTGGGGGTGACACCCAGGAATTGGTAGATAATTGCAGTGAGGAGATTAATTGGTGGTATAGTGTAAAGACATGAGATTTATTTTAAAAAGCTGAAAGGGGGCCGGGCGAATGGCTCAGTTGGTTAAGAGCACGAGCTCTGAGCAACAGGGTCGCCAGTTCTATTCCCGCATGGACCAGTGAGCTGTGCCGAGCTGAGCTGCCACTGAGCTGCCAATAGGTGGCAGGATAGCTCAGCTGGTGAGCGCATGTGCTCCTGACATCAAGGTTGGTGGTTTGACTACCACATGGGATGGTGGGCCATGCCCACATGCAGCTAAGATTGAACACAGCACCTTGAGCTCAGCAGCCGTGAGCTGCCGATGGGTAGCCGGATGGTGACTGGACTTGGAGCTGAGATAGCTGTGCCCTCCATAACTAAGATTGAAGGACAACAACTTGGCTGTTCCCCTTCCCCAATTCCCCAACACTGTTCCCCTCCCCCAATTCCCCTAATAAAATCTTAAAAAAAAAACAGGCATCAATTGGGAAAACTATAAGGGAAACAGTATCACTAAGGGAACTCTAGATTTTAGTTAGACTAAGAAGTTGAAGAGAATATTCAAAGAGGCTCATGAGATAAGAGAAGTATTATGTGTTCCAGAGGACCTCGTGGAAAGGGTAGGAAATGTAAACAAAATAAGAGGTAAGTACAGCATTGGTGGTATAGTGGTGAGCATAGCTGCCTTCCAAAATAAGAGATAAGATCAAGATAGTAATTATTAGGTGATAAGGAAGGACATGGGAATCTGAGGCTTCGTGTTTTCATTGGTAAGTAGAGATACAAATATAATGAATTAAAATCTGGTAGTCTCAAGACAGTGGTGGTGAGGCTGAGTGTTTGGGGGTGAACTATCTAGAACCCATAAATTAAATAAGAATAACTTCAAAGTGTCAGGCCAAACACTTCTGTACATCTTATGCTTCACTGAAATTTCAATAAATAGCACAGGCTGGTCAAGTTTCATGTAAGATAGTCTGTTCTGGTAGTCAGGAAGTGACAGTTCATGAGGAAACCTAGAATGTATGACCTCTTTGGAATACTTATTATTTGGCATTTGACCTTCTCATTTCAATTTTCAAACACCTTATAATATGATCATAGACACTTATCTGAGGAGCTAGGGAGCCTGTATTAATCATTTAGAAATTATAGGAATATGATCTCTTCAGGAACCATCCTGTCATATAAATCTATCATAAGAACAAGATAAGAAAGAGGAAACTTAAAACTCAAAATGATAATCCCACACTAATGACCCCCCTCCCAAAGGCTTAGGTATATTAAGCCAGGTCTGTAGCAACACACAGAGGATAATAAATGAAGGACCGTGTAAATAACTTGTAAGCAATTTGACCTACCTTTACCTATCTTCAGGAAAGCCCCAATGTGAATTCCTAGAGAGAGACTGAGTAGTTCTGACTACTTACCTAAAGAGAAGCTGAAGTTGGGAAGAAGGGAGCTCACAAAACTTAAATTATTGCACTTTTTTCTGTTACTTTTTATTCAAAAGGCCAGAAGACAGGGGTTTGAACCAAAGTTAGTGGTGGATACTGTGGTAGCCAACCTATAAGATATCTCCCAAAGATTCTCACCTCCTGATATTCTTCCCTTTGTGTAGTCCCCTCTCACATTAAATAGAGCTGACCTATATAACCAATGGGATATTACAGAAATATAATTTCTGAGGCTACATTAAAAAGTGGCATTGCTTCTGCCTTGCTCTTTTGGATCATTTACTCTGGGGAGAAGATAGTTGTTTCATAAGGATGCTCAAGCAGCCCTTATGACCTATGGAGAAGTCCATGTTGTGAAAAACTGAGGCCTCCTGCCAACATCCATGTGAGTAAGCCATCTTGGATGTAGAACCTCTAGCCCCAATAAAGTCTTCAAATGTCTGTGGCCCCAGCCAGTATCTTGACTACAATCTCATGATAGACCCTGAGTCAGAACTACCTGTGAAGCCACTCCCAAATTCCTAACTCATGGAAAATGTGTGAGACAATAAATATTTATTGTTATTTTGAGCCATAAATTGGGGGCTGTGATTATTTTGCTTATGTAACAATAGATAACTAATAAACAATCAATAACTTATAAGTAACAAAATTAGAATTCCATCCCAAGTTTGACTCCAAAGGTTGAGCTCCCGAAAGGTTGCAAGTTTTCCAATGAAATTTTTAGGAGTTTTTCTTAGTTTGCCTATTAAAACAGATAATTATTTGAAATAAATTCAATTTGTAGCCTATCTAAAGAAAGGCATATCAATCCCTTTCATTGCTTTGTCAATGACATGCATTTATTGTTTTTATTAGTGTTGGACAAGTTCTTGGGTACAGTGAATTAGAAGTCAATAAATAATCATGTCCATTTTCCAGGTGTTCATTAAAAGTATCTCTAAAGAAGTCTGATTCAGTTTCAGGAGTTTTTCTAGTAAGATTCTTCAATGAACCTTCTATCTTTTAAGATATTAATGTGTACCATTCCACTTAATTTGTTCCTCCTTTCCCTCCGCTGAAACCATTTTAGTACATAATTTTAATTTCCTCAGGAGGAAAAATTGTTGTTTCTGAATTACCCTTCATGAGAGTTGCAAATGATTTCAAGAACCACTTTGAAGTTCTACCCAAAAGTTGTATCTAAATTTCACAGAACTCATCATTTTTTCCTACCTCAAATGTCATTTCAAACCCTGGGGAAATAATATTTTCCCTTGAAAGATCTAAACATTTTACAATAAAGAAAGAAATGTTTGTATCCTTTGGTCCAGGTGACATGAGTCATCCTGCAACTAAAGAACATCTCAACTCGACTGTCAGATCTCAGGGTTATTACAGAAAAATCGGTCTTTCTTTGTCCAATAAAATGCTCATTTACTTTGAGCTAGAGCACCTATAACTACCTCTTTGAGAAATGTTCCATTTCTCTCCCTTAAAGCATCTTTAATTATAAAGGTTTGAATTTTCAAAATATAAATTAGGAGGTAATACTTTGTTTAATGAAAATATTAACCATAGGATATATTTAGATAGTAGGACCTCTGTAGCTCTCTTTACAAATATTTTTATATACAGATTTAATAAAGTAAGCTATAACTAACAGACATGTAGTTGTCCACATACTTTATATTGCAAAAGTACTGTTGCCTACTTTAAGCTCCTTACAAGGAATTCCATTTTTCCCATTATTTATTTGATATATATTTCTCTCATAACCTACGACTTTTATCCTTTCAGGCCAGCTCTGAAATCACCAGATGTCCAATATTTCAACTCTTTTAGCTCATTTTAGATAAGGCTTTATAATTTACCTTAACCTTTGGTTGGTTTTGGAAACCACATGCCATATTATCTCAGATAGATAGATAGATGATAGATAGATAGATAGATACATAGATATATAGATAGATAGATGATAGATAGATAGATAGATACATAGATATATAGATAGATAGATGATAGATAGATAGATAGATAGATAGATAGATAGATAGATAGATGATAGACAGATAGATACACAGACAGTCAGGCTTCTATCAAAAAGAGAATTAATTATAGAAATGAGTCTTTGTATTGTGATAAAATACACATAATATAAAATCACCATTAGTGACACTTAGTACATCCACAATGTTGTGCAACCATCACCAATATACAATTCCAGAACATTTTCATCAACCCAAAAGGAAATTCATACTCATTAAATAGTCACTCATCTTTTTTCCCTCCCCAACCTCTAGCAACCACCAATCTGTTTTTCAATTTCTATTGATTTGCCTATTCTGAATATTTCACATAAATAAAATTCTATAATAGGTAGCTTTTTGTGCCTGGTTACTTTCACTTAGCTTAATGCCCATCCATGTAATAGTACTTTATTTCTTTTCATCGCTGAATAATGTTTCATTGTATGGATATTTCACATTTGGGTTATCCATATTCATCAATTCATATGGGTTGTTTGCACCTTCTGGCTATTGTGAATACTGCTGCTGTGAACAAAAACATTATGTACATATTTTTGTTTGAATACCTGCTTTTAATGCTCTTGGGTATATACCCAGGAGTGGAATTGCTGGGTCATTTGAAAAATGAAATGAGACTTTTTTTTTGTAGAGGGCAGTGTCACTGGCCCACATATGTGGGATCCGAACCGGGGCCCTCTGGCATCCCAAGCCAGCTCTTAACCATCGCGCCACTCGGCCGGCCCAGAAATGAGACATTTTTAAATGAAATCTTACCAAACCAATAAATAGTCCCATTTTATGTGTGGGGGTCATATTTTTATTTCTCTTTTGTTATGTTATAAACTTTTCTGGACTCCTACACTTCTCTAGGAAATGTGGTATGGGAGTTTATACCAGGAGTAAAAGATGGCATCATCAACACACATTCAACATGAGAACTATTTTTTATCCAAAGGGGCCCACTGACATAAAGGCAGTTGAAGGTCCCCAACTCTAGCAGCTGTGCTGACACATACCTTCAGACAATGAAGGTTACAGGCAAGTAAGCAAAGTGTTTCTATATAGTTTTGGAATCACATAGACCTTAGTCAAATTACATGTTGCTTCCTCACATAGACCTTGGGCCACTCACTAAACTTCACTGTATCTAAGTTTCTCCATCTGTAAAATGGGGGTAATAATCCCTGCTTCTCACAATTATTATGAGCAAAGGGCATAGCTTGGCACATAACACGTAATAAATATCAGTTCTCATTTCCCCATATTTTCTCACACTCTTCAGGTTAACTGTTCTTCAAGACAACAGCATTTTCTCATTTTCTCTTTCAGGTTAAAATCAAACTGCCAAATACAAACCCTTCTGAAATTAAAATTGATATCCAGGAAATGATCCTTGACCTTCGAACTCCTACTAAGTGAGTAAAACTTAGAACTAGAATAATGTATTATAGTATTAATGAATCTTTAGTCAATATTCTTTTTTTTAAATGTGCATAGTTATTTTGCATCACCCTAAAAGTCTGAAGAAAAGCGAAAAAGTCAGTTAGTCATTCAGATCTTTGATCTACATAATATAAACATAAATACTATATTTGGAAATATCTAGATTTTTTTTCCTACTGTGCACCTGTACATTTGGAATAGGTTGATACCACCAAAACAGTCTTTGACATTCAGATGCAGTTGGCTTATCTCCCAGGGAAAATAGCTGGAAGTGATAATCCCTTAAATTGTAAGTCTTGCATGTGTTATTTTGTATAGTTACGGCATAAAAGAAGCAAAGTCTTTAAACTTTTTGGATATTGTGGGGGGCTCTAAGGTTAAGTTTGATTATATTCATCTAAAAATCAACAAAAAGTCTTGTCATCAATTACTTAAAACACAATTCTAGCAGCTAATTTATCACTAGATCCTTAAGTTGTGTGAATACATTTTAAAATAATACAGATGATAATGGAATGATTCAATTAAACATTTTGATATTTTCAAAATAGTCTTGTTATTACACAGGTTCAAATCATGTCTCCCAAACACAGTACATACAGTAAAATTAATATAAAATGTTTATCCTGAAACCTGGATAAATCAGTCCTATCTCTCAAAACTAATGCTGTAAAGCAGGAATCCATGGAACCTGGTGTGTGCTAGATAAAATATCTAAATATCTCACTGCTTTGCTCACATTTCATCTGGATGTATAGCAGTGAGCACACTTCAGTTGATTGCAGTGGTTCTTTCTCTGTAACTCATCAACATTTCAAACTGGGTATGGGGATCAGTCAGCTGCTGGCACATTCTCTTCCTTCCATTCTCAGTACCCACAATTCTCCTTTGTTGATCTCAGGGCTTCAAAATAAAAGTAGATCCCTCATATGAAAGACCCCTATGTGTAAACAACCCAATGTACATACATAGCTTAACCTTGATTTCTACAGTAGATACATTTAACCCAAAATGATCTACAGATGAATATATATCAAATATTTTCTCATTACTTATAGTAATTTCAATATGTATTCTCACAAAATAAATGTCTCATGTTATATAAATTACATTCACTATTCCTACCATTCAATTTAAGGAGTATTGTAATTTTTTCATTGCATATTATGCACACATTTATTTTTCCACACAACCTTAGCAAGGAAAGTTGGTTAAATGGACAATCAATCTCCCGTGATATTTGTGCACTTGTTAAAAGCACACACATAGCTACACACCATGGAGTTAATTTCCGTTTCCCTAGCAGTTCTCACTGTCTCCATCAATCTTTAGGCAGCTGCTCTGGCTATGCTGTCATTCCAGATATCTATCAGAGCCCACTAAATGAAAGACTCACACAGAGATATAGAATGTGGGCTACACTAGGTCATTTGGATCATACTGTACTTATATATTAAATGCTCATTGCAGAGAGGTACTGTCTCTTAAGAAAAAAATCATTAATTAAGATAGAAGACAGACGATAGAATTAAGGTTTTCTGGTTTCTTTCTTGTTTTGTTTTGTTTTTTTAAATCTCTTTTCCTAAACACTGGAGCATTCTTTGGGGCCATGCTATTGTATTATCTGAAATTGTATTATTGGAAATGTGCCTTGTTTTTTAGTTTATTTATAGTCATATCTACTTTATTTAGTTCCTAACTTTGACACCCTATAAAACTGTGTTTACTTGCTTCAAGAAAGATAAGAGAGATTATGTTCATATATCTGTAAGGCAGGGAACAAGTGAATTCGTTTTCATTAAATTGACTAGTACTATCAATCAAATGACAATCAATTGCATTGTAATTATTAGTAATACTCAGATATTTAGCATTGTCCAATCAAAAGAAAGCAGTTTACTGAATTTTTCATTTTTTAAAAAACTCGTTGTTTTTTGGCATGTAGATTCCCAACATGAAGTAGATGGAAAGGAGGAAACACAGGGGAAATTGGATAATTTCCCAGAATCTCCTGACTTTTGTCTTCATATGGGGTTTCATTATTTTTTGAAGTGAATTCTAAGAATATCATAAATGAATTCCTTGAATATGATAATAAAAACACATTCTAAAGACAAGAATGAGTTAATTTTGGTTTAGTACTGCTTTAGATTATTCTCACCTTTGCTGTGCTACTTCAATTCAGATTAATTTCAAGTTGACTGATGTTCAATGAAATTGATACCTAATATTAAGTTTTATAAATGGAATAGTGAGTTGCAGCTCAGTAGTTATTTCTGTACTTTCTTTGAAAATTGTTATGTCTCCAATAGGAAACCTTAAACAGGCCATGTCTGCTTTTAACCCAGATATGTAAATCAAATCACTTATTAACTACAAAATAAAAACTGCATTATTTGAATATGCACAGAACAATGTTGTCCTTTATTTAAATCTCTTGCAAGTGACATCAACTTGAATTCTCTAATATAAATGTAAACGTGTAAGTCTACACTAGAATTCACTGTATAGATAATTTTTTTACTTTCATATATTATTGTTTGTATTTGTGTAATTTCTAATGAAAGTTGGCACTGGATAAATATTTGATCACTGCCTAAACTATAGCTTCTTAAAAAGCAAATATAGTATCAATGTAAAGGAAGAGGTATTTGGGTTTAAAAGTTTGTTCATATTTTATAGTACTAATCTATAGCAATTGTTTAAATACCATTTTGTGGTGCCTGATTTGCTTTTCATTCATTTATTCACTCAGCAGACATTTATAAAGTGTTCTGCCAACACTCAGGGTGGGGTGGGGGTGGGGAACACCAAAGTAAGATACAGCCCTGTCCTTCAATGAATTGTACATAGTTAAGCATTGTGGAATTTTATTTGGTTTAAATATAGATGGCACTTCAGATATTAGACAGTAAAATGGACAAGACAAAAATACTTTCCTTCCCTTAAGAGCCTAAATAAGTTGCACAGTTTGTTTTGTTCAAAATTTTAGCATGTGATGTCTTACTACTAAAGACTAGACAGAAGTGCAGGGACAGATGGATCATTCCAATGGCCACTAACTGTCTCCTTGGAATTTATTTCTCTCTGGGCAGAGAAGTGCACATTATCATTGGAACTCCTTCTTCAGCTGATTTATAGCTGTCTTTCAGTGCAGTGAAGCTACCACCACTGAGCTTTGCTTTCTTTTTAAAGTGACTATGTCACCATTAGTAGAATAAAGGATAAAGCAAATCTAACTTTAGCACAAGCTATATTGTTAACAACTTGAAAAAGATGGACTCTAACCATTTCTGCACCAACTCTTTTTTTTGGAGATGTCAAATATTATAGGCAAAACTAAAATACATCATGATTTCATCACTTAATGTGGGGAACTGTTTCCCCAAATATCTGGTATGAAAGAAGCGTCACAGAAAATTTCTCCTTCAGATTCCACAGATGTGTGACGAACACTTTTTTTTTTTAGCTGAGCCATCCTGCCACCTGTTGGCAGCTCAGCAACTGCTCAGCTTGGGCCAGGACTCAAACCTCTGTTGCTCAGATCTCAAACTCTTGAGCGTGCTCTTAACCAACTGAGCCACTCGGCTGGCCCCTGACAAATACTTTTATTGAGTCCAGTGTCTTGAACTTAGGTATTTGCAAATGAGTAAAGAGGCAAATGATTTTCAAGGGTTTTGTTTTCAAATACTAGTTCTTTATATAAGTATTCAATAAGTATCCCTAAAAAATACCAGATTCCTTTACTGATTTGGATCTTACACCTTCTAAAAGATTTTTCCTGTCCACTTTTCATAGAGATACTCAAAGCTTCTCTGTTGAGAATGTGAGATAACAAGTGTTTCATGCATTAATTTTCTTCAGATACCAGCATGTGCCAACCCCATGCATAAATCAGATTCATAATACTATGACAGAATTATGGATGTCACATCCCAGCCATGCATCTATAACATGCAGCTATCCAAGCAACTGAGCCATTAACTGCAAAATAAACCCAGCAATCTCTCACAGGGAATGTTTGTCAATGTATAGTAGAAAGAACCAGAAGCCAAGCATGGAGAAGCACTCCCATTGATTTGGTATTGAAATCATTCCAGGCCTGAGTTTCAATAACTACACCTGCAGTAGAGACTCAGCCTAAAGTTGTGTTAGCAGAATTCTTATAGAACCATTCCGATTTTCAGATTTGTATCAGCCAGTTACACTCCATTTACACATAAGTAAGATTGGCAACAGATCTATGCAACCAACTTAAAGTTGCAATGGTTCCATGTCTATACCTATAAACATAGACTGAAGCTATGTTTATATAATGCAAAATGAGGTTAATTTAGAAAAAGGGCCGGGGGTGGAGGGTCAAAACCACTACTTGGATTTTTAAGGCCAAACAACTGGTATACTATTTGTGTTATTTATACATTGATCCCGTACTTATACTGTCTAAATATTGTTTTTTGGTTCCTAATATTCTGATGGTATATATTGCTTTCCATTACCTTATTAAAAGTGGTATATTTTTTATATCACTTTAGGGAACTGCTTCTATATTTTTATTTCATTTTATTTTGTTTTGTTTTGTTTTGTTTTGTTTTGTTTTGTTTTGTTTTAGGAAACTGTTGCTTAACTTTCCCCAACCTGTGAAATGTGACAGTGCCAAAGCTATGTATATCCTGGAAACTGAGACTCTTGAAGTCACCGCAACTCTGACAAGAGAGTTCGATTTTATTAATTTCTTCTGAAACTGCATGAGTAAGGAGGAAAAGTGGCAAAATAGCCCTGACAAAAAATTAAAAATTGTGAAAAAAATAATTAATGTTTTCTATCTTTTTAAAAATTATTATTCTGGCATACTTCAGAGAGGACCTAAATTCAATTCCACTGATGTTCTGATCATTTACAGTCATTTCTGTTACTCTGGCAGGAAATATTATTTTCTCATACTAATAAGCTACTCCATTTTTATAGTGATAGCAGGATACAATTTACAGGCTAATCCATGAGATTACTACATGGTCAATTAAATAACTGAAATAAGACCATTAAATTGTTGGTCCACTATTTTTTTTCATGCAGGAGTCAAACAGGCAACCTTGCTGTTAAGAGCACATGCTCTATCCACTGAGCCATCCAGACGGCAGCTCAGCTCAAGGTGCCAAGTTCAGTCCCAGCCGCAGGTGGGCATAGCCCACCATCGAACTCAGCAGCAGCTCAGCTTGGGCGCAGCTCAGTGGCCCAGGTGGGAATTGAACCAGCGGCCCTGTTGCTCAGAGCTCGTGTTCTTAAGCAAACTCTTAACCAACTGAGCCACTCGGTTGGCCCTGGTTGGTTCATTTATTTCAGTAGTTTTAAGAACTTCATCCAATCAAATATACTATGATACAATCAGTTACATAGCAATTGATCATGATTATCACCAGAAAATAGTATTTGATTGTCTTTTCATTGATCTGATGAAATGATTTGGTGTTGTCTGTTTAAACTCTCACTATTATTCTGGAATGTACAAATAACAAAAAAAATATAAAATAGTTTGATGCACCGTACTAATTATACATGTTTTATTTGAATCAAAAATACTCTTGAGCACACAGTATTATTTGGGTTCATCAGTCCTGCTCTCGATGTTTGGATCTAGTTAGGTTAAAAATATTTTTCCTTTTGTGCACTAATAATTATTAACAATGCCTTTCAGGGTACTGTGTTTATACTTAGTAATTTAAATCATTGACATTTAAAAGGAATATAAAGAAAAGCATGATGCATTTATAAATCCTGTTCTCTCTCGTTTCCTATATTTATTCTTAATTAGACATACCTATTTTTTATGAATTATGCCAATGCTCCCTACCTCTCTATACTGCATTGCATAAGTTTATTTCAGAATTATTTATAAATAAATTATATTTTAAATCTTATGTGACTAGGCCTCACATATTATTATAGATCTGTGGAATTACCTGGGAGCAAATTTTGAAAAGAGATGAACAACTGAAAGATATTTATTGCTTCTATGTGAACTATTAAGGGACTAAATACTCAAGCAGTAAATTTCTAGATTTAGTTATGTAGATAACTACGAAGCATCTAGATTGTGACTGGATCAAATCAAAGGAAAATACTGAGATTTTGGGAAAACTGGTTGTGTTAAAACTAAGCTTTTGTAAAAATTTGACATTGAAATTACTACCATGATTTTCTTCTGTGGGGGGTAAGAGTTGAGGGTGGGATTAATTGAAAGGAAACTGGTATCTGTGAATTTAAGTCCATGATGTTGTGAGATCAAGAGTGTCCTACTTTGCTTTAACGTCTTGTTAAAAGGCTGTATTTTAAGAATTTAAGATTACACCCTAAAGTGTAAACTCTGGAGCAAGCCTAAGCAATTGGTAACCAATATTTTTTTCCTCTAGAGAACTAACAGTGAGTCAGTGGAAAAATGTATCTCTTTTTCCTATGTACTGGCCCTAATTACAGAGACCATCATTACTCAAGCTGACTGAATGTGTACAAGTTGTCCCGGGAAGAGAAGATAGAGCATATCCAGGCCAACTTGAATTGGGCTTTGGTTATGTGGTTCTGTATCAATTATGTAACGAAGAAGAGCTTCCAGACAATGAAATGTGATGCACTAACTTATACCCATCTACAAATCATCCTACTTATCTGTCCCTGGCATCAGAAGTAACAACTTTGTTGTCATTGTTGTTTTGTTTTTAAGCTAACTAACTCACAGGACTTGCTTCCTTTAAAAAAGAATAGTCCACTAAAGCAAATGTAGAAAAAGAGAATACAAAAGGAAATTTATCTGGTCAGCATTTTGAAATGAATCTTAGCCGTTACCAGGAAAACTGGAAGTTAAAACTATAATTGTGATATATCATTAGCCTTCTCCTTCATGAACTTCTTTACCTCACTTTTTGGTTCCATAATTTCCAGTACCATTGTGAGGGTTCAATTATTTATTCATTACTCATTTTTGCATTCTTTCAACTCAGCACTATGTTGGATGCTGGGTACATAGCAATTAGCACACCAGATGTCCTCACAGAGCAAACAGTTTAGCAAGGGACACAAACAATAACCAAGTAAACACATAAACATATATTTTCAAGTTTATTGTTACTGCTATGAAGGAAAAAAATAGATCCTTTCAGGAGATCTATCAGAGAAGTCAAACCTAGTCTGGAGAGGAAGAGCAGAAAAAGCTTCCCTAAGGATTTAACACTTGAGCTAAAACATGAAGAATACCTAGGACTTAGCCAGGCAAAGAGAGCGTTGGCTGTAAGAGAATAGTAGGGTTTCTGGGTACAGGGGGTAGCAAATATGAAGACTCAGGCTAGAGAGAACTTGTAGAGTTCAAGGAAATGAAAGCCAGTGTGTTTGGAATAGAGTGAACCTGGGGAGTGGGACCACAGGTAACTTTGGAAATGTAGGCTGGAACAATGTCATGTAGAACTTTGCAGGCTGAGATTAGGAATTGGGATTTTATTCTAAGTGCTTTGGGGAAAATAATGCATTAGGGAGGCAAGAATGGAAATGGGGAGACCAGTTAGGAGGCTACTGCAGTAGCCCAGGCAAGGTATTATTCTACATGTTATCCTAAGCAAAGTTTATTGTTGATTTTTTTCTAATTAGAAAAAAACACATGCTCTAAGCAGGAAACTTTAACAATACAGAAAAGCTCTTTAAAAATACAGCATAGCTAAAAATCACCAATAAGCCAAGAAACCATAAATAACCACTCTTACCATTTTTAGTGCCTCTTTCACAGATATATTTTTCCCCAAATGGGATGATATTGCACCTACTGGTTTTATAAGCTACTTTCTTTTAATTTCTAAGTGTATTTTTAATGATCTTTTTTTGTTTCTGGGAATTTTTATTTTATTGCATTCTGATAAAATAATGTGATAAATGATCTATGTGTATATTTAAAGAATGAGATTCTGTAATTATTGGGCACAGAATTCTGTATCTATCAATTCAGGTTTTTTTAAATTGTTGTTGAAATCTACATTCTTGTTAATTTTTGGTCAGCTTTCTCTATCAACATGCAGAGGTGTATTAAAATTTACCACTGATGATAGATTTATTGGTATTTCTTTGTAATGCTGTCAATTTTGCTTCGTATAATTAGAGGTAATATATTTAGGTGCAGACAAATTAAGAATTGCTATATGTTCCTGGTGGATTATGCCTTTTATCAATATTCTGTGACACAATTTATCCCTAATAATATTTGTTGCTTTAAGTTATCGTTGGCTTACCACTAACATAGCTATATCAACTTTGGTTAGTACTTGCCTGGCATATATTTTTCCATTGTTTTCTATGCCCTTATGTTTTACATATGACTTTTATGAACAGAAATTAGCCAAATTTTGGGTTTTTAAATGCAACTAAGATTCTATCTTTATATTCACAAGTTTTAGTCCAGTCACATTTATTGTGATTAATGATATATTTGGATTTACTTATATCACCTTATCATGGGATTTTTCTCTTATTCAGCCTTTTTCTATACTTTTCCCCCTCCATTCTTGCCTTTTTTCCATTAGTCAACTCTTTAATTCTTTTTTTCCCTACTAGTTTGGAAGTTATACATTATGTTTCTGGGGGCTTGGGGGTTTTATTTTGTTGTTGTTGTTTTTCACATAAAGTGTCTAAAGTTTTTCATTAGTTCTATTCTTCCTTAAAAACAATTCAACAGCTTAGAAAGTTTTAACCAAACCATGCATCTACAA